GCGGACACGTGCAGTGTGACTTTGGGCAAGGGTCTGCCCCTGACTAAACCTCAGCCCCCATGGCTGCTATGTGTGCAGGCAGTTACCCTCCATTCCTCAGTGAGTTAGCATAAATGATGCTTTCATCAGCCAGAGCTTCTGGTACCCTCCACGGAACATGCGATCCACCTAGATACCCTCAGAGGTCCGTCTGCTGGTTCACCCGTTCCCCGTGTGAGGAAACAGGCGCCGGTTGCAGGAAAACGGCATACCATTTTAATTCCACGATCCAGCTCTCCAGCAAGTCCCTCTTGAAACCTAGGTTGTTCTGGGTTCGTCTCTGGCTGCCTGGTAGACATGTGACAGCTTCTTGTTGCCCTTTGCACCAAAGCTGGGAGCCTAGGTGAGAGGCCGAATGGTGCGTGCACTGAACAGCTTCTCAGAGCACAGGCATCTGCTCACTGCAGAGGAAAGGCGATCTGAGACCCATAGCTCTGGGTCACATTCTGCAGATTTTTGGCCCCAGGCTTGGGCTTGGCAGCCACTGCCTCATTGTTCTACAGCTTGGCAGGGGCTGGTGGACGCTGGAGTCCCCAGGGTCGCAGGGCTAGGAGACTCCCCATATTACTCACACTCAGCGTGTACTTCTGGTCAGCCCTGCGCTCCCGGGCTCCCTCCACGTGCAGATCCTTTCCTGCATCTGACTCTGGGAGAAGCAGGCTTTTGTAGAAATGTGTGGTGTGGGAAGGTTGGGTTTCTGCTGGAGTATTACAGAGTGCAGGTTCCTTCAAGTCCTGCCCTGTGGAGACTCCCTGATGACAACCAGAGCCTCAGAAGGAGAGCTACTGAAGTCTGAGGCCAGTTTGTTTTGTTTTGTTTTTGTTTTTTTGTTTTTCAAGACAGTGTTTTTCTGTGGATCCTTGGCTGTCCTGGAGCTTGCTCTGTAGACCAGGCTGGCCTTGAACTCATAGAGATCTGCCTGCCTCTGTCTCCCCAGTGCTGGGATCAAAGGCGTGCGCCACCACTGCCAGGCTTGAACCCAAAATTCTTATCTGTAGCTCACTGGGCAAACAGCTTTGAGCCTCAGTTTTCCTACCTATAAAATGAGTTTCCCAAAAGCCTTGAGGGTGGACAAGTGGGAAAGACCTGGCCATCAAGAAGGGCCCTCCCTCTTCCCTGCTAGACCCCTTCCATCTGGAGTGTTCCTCTTGGGGGCTTGTCAGGCCAGGTGCTCTTCCTCTCCACCCTGGGGAACACTGTCTGGCAGGTGCTACTGGCTCTGCAAGTCACTGGATGAATGCCAGGGGCTCTGATATCAGGGGTAATGTGGCCAGCAGCTGGGTGCGATCTCGAGGGCAGGGTGCATTGGCCCTACTGGCTCTTCCGTGGAAACAGGGCTCGTACTACAGAGTGCCACTGGAAGGATAGTGCGGTGGCCTCAGGAAAGGATGCCACCTTAGGCCTTAAGTCCTAGCCTCACTGTTTATCCATGTGACCTGGGCTAGTTTTTCAACCTCCTTGTGCCTCAGTTTCCTCATTTGTTCGATAGACTGATTTTAGCCTTTATCTGATGGAGTTATGCTAAAGTTTATGGGATTAAGGGTGTGTTAAAGGACCCACGCAACTAATGTCATCATCTTGTGTTATTTTTGAAGTGGCTTGGGCCCCTCTGTCATACTCCTGCCAGCTCAAGTGAGGTCCACGTAGCTATTTGGAGGCGTGGCCTTCCTAAACAGCTGCCAGGCAGCTCAGTGACATTTGCCCAGGGTCCCAGCTAGTTCGTGAAAGAGTACAGATTCACACGCAGCGCGCTCCCTCTCCCCCGCCCCAAACACCTGGGGGCTGGAGCTAGGCAAGGCAGGATGAGGGAAGGGGAACAGAGACAGGGACCAGGCAGGCAGATAGGCAGAACAAATACATGAATGGCCAAGACAGGGCAGCCTGTGGGCCCATTCTGGAGGCTTCTGAGATGAAGATGGAACCTTCTCCTGAAGACAGCTCTCCAACCTTTTCCCAGAGGTCCCCCTAAGGGCAGAGGACGGTGAGCATGTCACCCTGAGGGATGCGGAGGGTGTTGGCCACATCAGCTGCTAAGCCTGTGGGAGCCTCTGGCTTCATCTTCAAATTCATGCGCATTTTACATCGGGCTCACTCTCATTCCCAGTTTGTTGTCACAGGTTTTCCCCCTGAGTAACAGCAGTGCCTGAGGAAGCTTCTCCGTGCTTATCTGTTTATCCTGGGGCTTTTTGTACACAGCTCCTCCGCCATGCGATCCTGGGAGGGGTGGGCTGCTGCAGCAGGATGCTCAGCCAGCCGGTGGGAAATTAGGAGACTCTGAGAGCATCTGGGCCCCTCTGCATCCCCTGGAAGGCTGCACGGCGGGGGAGAGGGAGAGGCCTACCCATGTTGCCATGTACCCTCAGTCAGAGACTGCTCGTGTCTATCTCCACACAGAAGGACAAGCCACATCAAAGGTGGTTAATGTCTCAGACAGAAGGCATTCACAGGAACTGCACGGGCCAGGAATGGCTGTCTTGACAGAGGCCCTTGCAGCCTCACTTTTCATTTTTGACTTTATGTGCTGTAGAGCGTGTAAGTGAACCATAGAGCAATGAGGGGCTGGGGAGATAGCTTAGTCGGTAAAACAAACATGAGCACCGGAGTTCGGTCCGTGGCTCCTGCATGGAAAGCTGGGGAGAAGAAAGAGGAGGATTCCTGCTGGGCTGTGACACAGGCCTTTAATCCCAGCACCCAGGAGGTAAGTGGATCTCTGAGTCAAGGCCAGCCTGGTCTACAGAGTAAGTTCCAAGATAGCCAAGGCTATAAAGACAATCCCTGTCTTGGAAGAAAAAAAAAAAAAAAAAGAAGGAAGAAGGAAAGAAACAAAATGAAAAGCAGCAGAGGAGGATCCCTGGACCTCCATGGCCAGCTAGTGTAGCCAAATCAGTGAACTGCAGATTCAGTGAGAGAGCCTGTGTTCAAAAGCCAGGAGGCAAATTGTCGATGAAGACCACTGTTGACTTCTGTCCTTTATATGTGCACACATAGAAGTGTTTCTGTAGTGTGTTTATCGTGTTCACTGCACACATAGATGCATCCACACGTACCTTTGCACCCACTCCCAGAACTGTGGAAGTGAAGGACTGCCCAGGGATGGAGGAAGAACGGTGCTGGGGCCAGTGGGCATGTTGCAGCATGCTAGGTGCCCTCGATGCACCCAGAAGAGATGGACACTTCTGGTCTCTGATGTGGCTGGTAACAGGCTCAGAGGGTTGGAGAGTGACCAGATCTGCAGGATATCAGTTCTGACATAGCAATGGTGTTAATTCCTGTCTCACGGCTGGCGAGAGATGGTGGAATCTTTAAGTGGCAGAGTTTAGTGGGAGGTCATCAGGTCACAGGGAACCGCCTCCAGGAAGGATTATTTCTCAAGAGATTAAGTTGTTTATTAAAGCTCAAGTCTGACCCCTGAATGTCTGACTGTCTGGTCCTGGGATCTGCCCTTTTCCTAGGAATACTGGCCACTGTAATGTTAGCTACCAGGAGGTTCCTGCCAGTTCTAACCAAGCCCTTGTATCTCCAACACTTTGAGTTCAGTAAAACTTTTCTTTATAAAGTTGTCCATACTCAGGCATTTCGGTATAGTAACAGAAAACGGGCTAGTACCATCTCTTAGGGCCCTGCAATGTGGGTGACACAAACATGGGACAGCACTCGCCAGCTTCTGTGCTCATTCCCTTGAGATGTTAGGAAGGTCATCCATGATTCACAGGGACTTCCGGCTCTCTAGGGACTATCAGACAGCTGCTCACGTAGCCTGGGTCAGGACCCTGGGAGTTAGGACTAGGACTGGGACACAAAGCGTGGGTCTGCTGACGCTTCAGGGCGTACTTACTTACCCGAGCTCCACTGATGCCTCCCGGTGTGGCTCATGGGAACCCAAGCCCAGGCCTGGCCCTTGGGGGGGGTGGGCGCCTGTTAAGGATATACTTCGGGATAAGCATAGGCTTTCCCACAGGGCTAAGTGCAGGTCAATCCCCCAGCCAGAAAGCTCCGATGCATGTCAGCCTTGTTCTTGGCTCTAAAAAGGCTAGTGTGATGGGGAAGCCTGAATCTTCCTCTAGCGTCAGGAAAGAAGTAATAATGGGTGGGGTGGGGATACTGGAAGGCCTTTTGCTCAGAATTAGGTTCATATTGGGGGCATTCTCAGGTCAGCCCTGGACGTGAGAGCTACGCTGTTCAAGAGCTCTGCATGGAGGTTCAGAGAGAACCTGGCCCTCAGTGTGGCCAGAGTCTCACTTTGTTCTCTCTCCTGGCCACTCAGACCTCCATCCTGGGCTTATGTGGGGTTGTTGGGGACAGCAGAAAAGACCAGTCCCCTACTGAAAGAATGTAGAAACGTGCCTAGTAGTGCAGGATTGAAGCTGGGGTCTTGTGGTGGTTTGAACGAGAAATGTCCTGCGTGGGCTCATGTACCTGAACATCGGGTTCCAGTTGGTGCTGCTTTTGGGGCGGTTCAGGTGTATGGCTGTGCTGGAGGAAGCGCATCCCTGAGGGCGGGCTTTCAGATTACACAGTCTCACCCTACTTGTAGTTCACGCTCTCTGTTACATGTCTGTGGTAAGGGATGCAAATGCTCAGCTTCCTGTTCCGGCTGCTGTGTTGTCCCCGTCGTTGTGGACTCTACCCATGTGAACTCATAAGCCAGAATAAACTGTTTTCTAAAAGTCTTTTGGCCATCACAGCAACAGCAAAGTCAGTAACGCAGGTCTCCTTGTGGACCTGGAGGAATCTTTTCCCTGCGGAGTTCCTCAGTCTCACCCTTCCAAAGGGCAATCCTAGCAGCTGAAGCAGGGCAGCATGGTAGAGAGAAAGAATACCGTGAAGTGTTGAGTACTGGAATGGTCACTTGTGAACCAATAGCCAAGTAACATCCGTGCCCTCTGCTCCGCTTGGCCATCTGTAAAATGGATCAAGTGGCCAGGAGGAGACAGTGACCAGGTCCCTATTATCTGTTACAGCCTGTGACCTCTTGAGGCTGGCATGCAGGATGGCAGGACAGCCCAGCCACATGCCCCATGGAGGGAGTCCGAGCAACCTTTGCCACGCGTTGGGGCCTGCACCCCCTCCAGACTCACAGGTAAGCCCATTCTCTTCTCTCCCAGAACACTGAGGGCCTTTGGAAGGCCCCAAGCCCTCATTCCCTGTAGGGAGCTCTATAGCACACCCGTACAGAACACCTCCTTAGCTGCTCCCAGGGCTTGGGTGCTTTGTACCTCAAGCCCTGTACTTAATTCAGAGATGCTTGGTCCCCAGTAAGAAGCAGCTTCCTGTCTGCAGCTCTGTACAAGGAGGGGAGGGACTCTGAAATGGACAGAAACTTGTATCCTGGCCCACTGTCAGCCTCTGTTTTGGTCTAAACTGTGTTTGGCTCTCTTCATTCTTGTGGTCTAGAGATGGTCTCCTTGTGCCCGGCCTACCCTGGCTCTTGATGCCTTGGAGGTCCCAGCTGCCTTTGGTACTGCTTCAAGGGTGGCTCTGAGTGCCAAGCACACTCAGTGCCCTTGCACACTCTGTTCCCTGACCTAGAGGGTCCTTTTCAGTCTCACCACAAGGCCAGATCCCTCTCTCTAAGGGATCTGACCCTCATCCTGACCCTCACCCACCCGTGTGTTTCCCATACCCACGTGCATCCATTCACTGACACCCATGTGTCCCCACATGCCACTGGCCTTGGATGTTCGCTCCTGCAGGGGTCTTTCCTGCCTACTAGATCGAGGACCTAGAATGACTGTGCAGCTAACTCAGCAAAATACATCTCTATTTCAAATTACATCCTGTATGTGCAGTGTGCTGCCTGAGGTGTGGCTGTGTGGGGCAGGCCCAGGTCAGCTCTCAGAGGCCACACAGCCTCTTGGGATAGAAGCATAAACATATCCAACAGAAGGAACCCCAGCACTCCAGAGCCCCAGCAAAGCACCTGATGCAGCCGAGAGGGCCAGGCTCCTGTAAGGAAAGGGCAGGCAGTGCCCTAAAGAGCAACAAGCTTGGTGTCTGTACCAGATCCTTTAGCATACCGTGTGCAGGGTCAGCCTTTTCCCCAAAGGCCGTGAGGCCTAAATCAGAGGGAGACAGCCCTATTCCTGCTCCTCCATGAGAGACTTCTAACAGCTTCTAACATCCTAGTTCTGGGTGGAGGACTAAGGGTCTGCCCGTTGTGCAAATTTTAAGTTGCACAGACAGCTGCTCAGGGAGGCAGGTGAATCAAAAATGTGTATGTGCTTGCAGTCTTACTGGGTTGTGATCTATGGCGTAGGGCTTTGTTAGCCCAAGAGAGGGTCCTACTGCAGACCTACACAAAGACGACACCTGAGCTCTTGGACAGTGTGTGCAGGTATGTAGACTGTCCCAGGACGGCTATGCTATTTGTGCTGGATGCAATATGCTGGCTAGGATGCAATGGTCCCTTTCCAGGTAGAACCGGGGGGGGGGGGGGGGATACAGCTCCAGAGCTGGCCAGGAGATGCTGCTGATGGCTGGGGCAGCAGGGCCTGCTTAGGTAATGTAGCCATTTGTCACATTAAGTCATTCACTAACAATCGAATCCCCCTTGATTAATCTCCCAGAATTAGCCAGTTGCATTTCGAGCAATTAGGGTTAATTACAGGCTCATTTGGCAGAGGAGAGAGGCCTGTAATTATTTCTCATGTGAGGCGAGGCGAGGCGAGGAGGCAGCGGTGACAGTGTCCTCGGCAGCTTGTCGCACATGTTGGAGTGGGTGATGACATAGTTAAGTGTAATTAGATGCAATCACTCAGCGTCGGCTGCTCTGGGCAGTGGCTGTCAGACAAGGATGTCCTTAGTCCCACCTGCACCTGGCCCGGCTTGAAAACTTGGGTACATGGCTGAGCATGCTGGGCCAGCTCCAGGCTGGAACAGGGATGGAGGCCGGCCAGGTACATGCTCTGTCCTCTCACAAACTGCCTGTGCCCTGACACAAGCCTCTTTATGTCAGCATCCTGCAATGTTTGGGATGGCAGGAGGCATGTGACCCAGCAGGCCATCCTTGGGGCAAGGAGTGAGGTTCCACCTGCTCTGAGGTTGGGTACAAAGCATCTCAGCCTCAGTTTTCTCATCTGTAGAGTGGGGATAATGCTGGTACTTCCATCCTGAGATGTCTGTCAAGTCCAAATAAAATGATGTTCTTTAAACATCCAGCCAGCCACCCAGCACCATGGGTGTCAAGGAAATGCCATGTGTAGACTTATTTATTTGTTTACTTATTTGTTTGTTTTTCAAGACAGGGGTTTTCTGTGTAGCCCTGGCTGTCCTGGAACTCACTCTGTAGACCAGGCTGGCCTTGAACTCACATAGATATACCTGCTTCTGCCTCCTGAGTGCTGGGATTAAAGGCATGTGCCACCATGCCCTGCTGTAGACTTTATTTTTATAATTGAAAAATTATTACAAAATATTTCAAAGCCAAAGCCATTGGCCTGTGAGGTTCCCATAATGTTGAGGGAGGCTAGACTTTAATATATGTCCGGCAGATGGACATACAGAGTCAAGAAGGTGAAACCCATAAAGAATGATGCAGATTATATAGAATGGGAAAGGTTTTCTTGTGTGAGAAGTCTCTGCTGACATGTCTTCAGAAACCTGCTCTGGGCAAGCTGAGTTTAATTCTATTTGGAGAGAGGCATGTGCATACTTTGTCCATGGGTGTGTGCTTCACAGAACAAAATTTATATGCAAACCTTCCTAAAGATATGATGGTGGATGGTTGTTAATGGTTATTGACACTCAAGGAGCTGGGAAGATGGCTCAGTCAATAAAGTGCCTGCCATGCAAACATGACCTGAATTCAGATGTTTAGCATTTACGTAAACGCTGTACACAGTGGCACACTTCTGTAACCCAGCGCCAGGAAAGTGGGAGACATTTGGGTGTCTGGGGCTGAATTTAGGGAGCTCTGGCTTCAGTGAGAGACCCTGTCTCAAAAAGAAAAGTAGAGAATGATTGAAGAAGACAGTGGACACTGACCTCTGCCCTTCACGTGCACAAACAACACACACACACACACACACTCAAAATTGAACAGTGTTGGCTACTGATTGTAAATTTAGAAAATGATTGTTTAAGACCTTTATCTGAGTACCAGCCCTACTGTGAGTCCCCTCTATAAACAGATAAAACAGACACTGGAGGGCTTGGGGAAGGGCAGAGAATGGGGCAGCTGATTCTGTTCCATGGATGACCAGGAGTCAGAGACAGAACAGAGAGAGTATTCATGGGCTCTAGACCTGCAGGTGGGCCAAGCAGGTTAGAACCGGTGCTCAACACACACACACACACACACACACACACACACACACACACACACACACCTTAAGCCAAGAGCAAAGAACCAGTGCTTGATCATTTGAATTGAGACTGTAGCAAAGGAGCTCGTTGTGGTTTTAGAAAGCTCCCTGGGGGCCAAGGCCTGAAGCTCAAGGAGGGTAACACTGGGGCCGAGCAGTGTCCACAGAGACATCTCTGTGCTGGGATGAAGGCAGAGAAGGACCTCCAGGCTTCATCTTCCAGCCTGTGCCTGGCAGGCTCTCAGCCGGGAGCTCTCGTCTCACTAGGGTACCAGGATTATCCCATGGAGGGGTCACTGTGGTTTGGATGTTCAGAGCCTGTCGTGGTGGTGTCTCTACGCTACCAGCAATTCCTTAGTGTGTCTGTGAGCCGATAGCCCATGAAGCCTGTAGGAGGCTTCTTAGCTGGGGTGATACCAATGAGGAGTCGAGCTAACTTTGATCACTGAGTCTTCTGCCTCAGACAAGGAGTAGCCAGTGCTCCGTTTCATAGGGAGGTGAACGGCTGTCTTGATCTGGAGGGCAGTAAGAAATGAAGGTTGGTTCAGGGTTTGAAATCAGCCACTCTGCTGATCGAGGCTGGCCTCGAAAGGTGTCTGACAATGTGGACTCTTTGTAAAGTGAGCCCTTTTGTGCAATGCATATTTAAAACACTCTGCTTCATAGAAACCCAATACCCTGTGAGTTCCCAGTACACATGATGTCAGATGTCTTTAAAGGTGAAATTCGTTTACAGGAAATGTCATGCTGATGAAGTGTGCTTCTTAAAATCATAGAAACAGTTGCCTTAAAATTAATGATGCATCACCAGTGTGAGGGAGAAGAGGCCCATCCAGTGTAAAGACGATTAAAATTCAGGTCAGAAGTCTGACTTAGTCAGGCTAAATTTTTTAATGAGATTTCAGAAAATTAATTGGGCGAATGCATTTTTATCCTTCCAACGTGTAATTTTATGCTCCTGTTTAGGGAGTGAGCATAGGGGAGAAAAGGGTTTGTTGATGGCCGTGGCATAGTGTGGTTCAAACATTTTAAACTCAAATTAGCAAAAGGGTGGGGGTAGGGGTGGGGGGCTGGTATCTGTGGCCTAATTTGATCTGACTTGGAAAAGAAAGCCTGGGTTTCTCTGGATTTTCTGGGGTGGGATGAGTGTCCTGGGGGAGTCTTCTCCCATTATCTGTCCTGCCTGGGCCTCAGAAAACTAATGACATTTCTAGGAAGGATGCAGTTAGGGACAGTTGCCATGGACCTCAGCCGTCCCCTGATCCCTCTATATCGGGTGCCTCCTGCTGTCTGTGGTCATGCTCACAGAGACTGTTCCATCCTCCTCCTCCTGATCCACACCATCCTCCCTCTGCAGCTCAGGCCCAAGGAGGCAGTGTTGGGGGACTCTTACAGGGTCAGCAGCCCAGGGTCAACTCGCTGTCTCCTCCGTCTTTGAGGGAGAGCAGAGGGCCATCCCTGCCCAATGGAGCCAGGCATGACTTCCCCCTGTGTGTCCCCGGTGAATGGATGACAGGCTCAGGGTCTCTCTAGTGCACAGCAAAGTGGATCACGGGGATGGTAACCTGAGCTGGCAAACAGACCTGGCGAGGCAGGGCAACAGACAGACCTGGCCTGGAGGGTAAGGAGACCCTAGACCCTCCCTCTCTCCTTGGAGTTAAATCAGGGTCAGGGCTCTGATGCTCACAGATGCCCTGTGCCTGAGCAGAGGCTGCCCCAGGCGAACCTTGTCTGGCAGTTTGCTGGCAGCCTCCCTCCCCAGTGGACTTGACATGGCCCCAGTGCACAGCACCGCCTAAGCTTCAGTACAAGAAACTGTTTTTCTAGTTGGGATGAGTGGAATGTGATGGGAAACGCAAATCTGGGCCATCCGTATGCATGTGTGAGCTAGAACCTCAGGCTCAGTGACGTTTCCACCCTCCCACCCAATAGCTACCACCTCGCATCCGTTAGACTTTGGAGCCGATGTGGAATTGGGCACTGTGGCCTCCTGGGCTGGCCAGACTGTCACTGGGGCCTTCAGCCAGCAGTCCATTGTCCACCCAGCCTCCTGAGAAGAAGGTTTGTGTTCACAGACCAAGTAGCCTTGATGATCACCCCTCTATACCCTTCGAGGTGCCAAAGAATGTAGAGGCCCAACAGAGGAGGGCCTCACCCCAGGACCTCCCGGGTCAGACAAGGAATTGAAGTCCCTGCTCTACTGGCAAGGCCTAGATGGGCAGAAAGAGTCCTGTCTGGAGGCGTTCAAAGCAGCCCTCTCCGAGGGTCAATTTCCATGCAAGGGCCCAGGAGCTACCTTGGTTCTATCTAAGCATGACTTCAGCTATGCTCCGCAGCTGGCAGCGCAGCTTTCCTTCTACCGGGGCGTTGGAGGAGAAGCAGAGAGTGGGAGCTGGTTCTGCCGCAGCCCACCAGCCCTCAGTTCCCAGCAGTGGGGAGGCAGTGGAGCTCCACTCGGGGTCTCTCTGAGGGTTTGACGAGTTGACACTGAGGTGGCGGCTGCACCGTGACAGGCCTGGATAGTGCTTGGAAGGCTTGTGCTTTTGAGTGGGCACTTGGTGAGTAGGTAGGGTACTGGTGATTCCTAAAGAGTTTGCCTGACAGCCATCATCTTTCTCTGGCTTGAGCCTGCAGTCAGGGATGATTTTCTCGTGCCACTGTGACGGGCACAGGTTGTCCGGAGAAGCTTAGGTGTGAGCTTGCATCCCCTTCCTGATGGGGAATGGCTGTGCCCGCTAATGGTGACCGACAGCGTCAGGACAAGGACCTTTGGTGGGAAGAGGGGGTGAGCCTGGATCTCTGTCCTGCCCATCTTGTTCTGATGCTTGTCACACACTCTACTGGCCAGGCCCGTTACTGGGGTGGCGAATGAAATCCCTTCTTTGCTTAGAAGGTGCTATTGGTGCGCGAGGGTCCTAGCAGTCTAGTCCCAGGCTTCCCTCTTCAGCCTGCCTGACCGCCAATGCCTCTGTCTCCTACAGAGGCACCCCAACATGCTGTCTTTTCGCTGCTCGCTGGCAGACTTCCAAATTGAGAAGAAGATTGGCAGGGGGCAGTTCAGTGAGGTTTACAAGGCCACCTGCCTGCTGGACAGGAAGACAGTGGCACTGAAGAAGGTGCAGGTGAGTTCAGGGCCGTGAGTCCAAGTGGCTTCACCGTGACCCTACTTCCTAGGGGACTCAAATTCAGCCCACTGTGAAACATAAAGAAAAGAAAAGTACGCACACAGTAAGTACCTCCTGTGTACAGGGGTGTACTCAGACATGGAGCCCCTGACAGTAGCCTTGTAGGCTGGAATAATTGTCCCATTTTTCAGATGAGGAAAACAGTAGTAACTCACTAACCGTCCAGGCCAGAGGGAGCTTAGAGGAAAGCAGGATACTCCCCTCCTGGCCCTCAACATCAGCTCTGGCTCAAAGGGTCCAACCTGTGATGTTTCTAAATGGAGGGGAGGGAATACAGCAGCAAGGTCAGGCTGGGAAGCACTCAGCATGGGCCTGGAAATCCTCCTCCCCTTCCCCCCACCCAGGCTGCCTAAGCCCCTTATTCTGCTGGTTTTCCTGCAGGGTAAGGTGAGCACCTTGGGCCCAGGAGTCCCTGGACAGGGAGGGTTGCCTGACCAGGCAGGCATTCATGGGCAAGGATGGGAAGATACTGGCTGCATAGGGTCAGCATTGACCTGTGACCCTCACATTCTCTCCAGGGCACTGGGGCATCAGGCTCCTGCAGTTGAGATACTGTCTGCTCTTGCCTTTCCAGAGGGCCTTCTGGGCCATCTTCCTTCTTTTTCATAATGGCTGCTGTGCTGGGACATTGGCAATGGCTGCCTTTGGTCTGTCCCTACAAGTCTTATGCTTCAGGCCCCTGCTGAAGGAGCACTGGCCATATGCCACTTACCAGGATGTGACCTCAGCAAGCCCCAGAGGCTGTGGGCCCCAATCCCTGCTCTGTGAGTTAGAACAGTAGCTCTTGCCACACAGGAGGAGTCACGGGACCCAAGTGAACCTGGTAACATTGACTTGTGCTGTTGCTGAGAAGTCGGGATTCTTACTCCTCTGGGTCCCTGGCAAGGAGCAGGGTGAGCAGGGGCTCGAATCATGTTTGTTGACACTGGTTTAACTGTTCTGTTTCTGGCTTCCTCTTGCCCTAGATCTTTGAGATGATGGATGCCAAAGCCAGGCAGGACTGTGTCAAGGAAATTGGTCTCCTAAAGGTGAGTCTCGTTTGGACCAGCTGTCCAGGTTACTGCAGGTCAAACACCCTGGGCCTTTCAGGATAGCACAGTGGGCAGCAGATATGTCTGCCATTGTGCCTCCTTCCCCGAGCGTCCCCATGTTGATTTTCCTGGAACCAGAGATAGAACTTTCCAGACTAGACTTGGGCCCCAGTCAGGAAGCTGGGAAAGGAGGAAAGCCTTGGGTTGTAGTCCTCATGTCTGCCTTTCTAAGTTGTATGACCTTTCTCAAGTGACTTAACCTTCATGAGCTTCTCTTTGCCCATCTTCTAAAAGGCATGAGTTGAGAGGATTATGCAGATTAAAATGAGACAGGGATGGGGAGATAGTTCAGTTGGTAGAATGATTGCCTTGAAGCATGAGGATATGAATTTAATCCCTAGAACCCATGTTTTGTTATTGTTTGTTTTTATTTTTGAGACAGGGGTTTCTCTACATAGCTCTTGCTGGCCTTGAACTCAGATCCACCTGCCTCTGCCTCAGGAGGACTGGGATTAAAGATGAGGTGTGCATCGCCATGCCCAGCCACCACATTTGTTTGTTTATTTGATACCTAAAAAAGCCAAGCAAGTATTGCATGCTCTAGCTCTAGCACCAAGGAGGTGTAGATGCTAGTCTCTGGGCTCACTAGCCAGCTAAGCTAGCAAGCTAGAGACCAGGAAGAGATCCTGTCTCAAAAAAACAAGGTGGGGGCCAGCGAAGATGGCTGAATGAGTAGAGAAAGCATTTGGCATGCAAGCCACCTGAGTTCAGTCTCCACAACCATGTAAAAATGATGATTATCCTCTTACTCCCACACAAGTACCATGGCACGCACACACTCACACGTCTGGAGAGATGTTCAGTGGTTAAGAGCACTGGTTGCTCTTCCAGAGGACTGGGGTTCAAGTCCCAGAACCCACATGGCAGCTCACAGCTGTCTATAACTCCAGTTCCAGAGGATCTGGCACCCTCGCACAGACACATGCAGGAAAAACATCAATGTACACAAAATAATAATAATGAAATAACTTTAAAATTGTAATATTCTCTGACAGCAGCTGAAGCTGGGGTTAGGTCCTAACAACCTTCACAAAACAATTCAGGAGACAGAGGAGAGTTTAAATAAGGTGCTGGGAAATCTGGACGTGCCTCACGCCACACACACATGGTTGTGAAATGGATTATTCTGAAAATAAAATGAAAGACTAAAGTCACGAACATTTCTGTAGTTTGAGCATATTTAAAAGTTAAAGCTAAGCCAGTTGTGGTGTCATCCACCTATAATTTCAACACAGAGGAGAATAAGGCAGGAGAATTGCCAGTTAAAGGCCAGCCTGGGCCACATAGTGAATACCAGGTCAGCCTGGGCTAAGCTACAGAATGACATTCCCCAAAGAACGAACAAAAGACAAGCTAAGGCTGTAATCAAAAGTTTATAGAAGAGAACTGCGGGACTCATCATAGCTAGAGGACACAGAGGTGTCCCCGAATACAAAGGGCACTAGGATAAAAGAAGGCCAGAATCTGTCATAGCCGTCACACAAAGATGAAAATGCAAGTCACAGATGGGAGACAACACACCTTATCACGTCATTGACAAAGGTCTTGTGATATAGCAAGGATCAATACATAATCCAGGGTCTAATCCAGTCTGGCTCAGCGTTTTCAGAGCTCCAGGGTATCCAGGTCTCTGCCCCCACCTTACCCCATGCCCAGTCCTGTTGGCTCCCAGCACCTGCTATCTTGCTGCCATTCATCAGCCACCGTGGCCTCTTTTCAGCCCCTCAGGTGTGCTGGCCTTTCCTACCACAGGGCCTTTGTACAAGCCATACCCACTCAGACCTCTGGCCTCAGTAATTATCATTAGACCTGAGAAAGCAGCCTTTCCTGCTGGCCCAGACTAACTGGGCTTAAAGACTTCCTGAGCCTTTAGAAAACATATGTCAGTCAGACCCTGGCCGTCAGCTGGTAGATGAACAGTGCCAACTATGAGTAGTATTGGGAGCCCTCTCTTGCTCCCCGAGACCCTTGTAGGTATAGTGTCCAGGGAAGATCCTCTCTTGTGAGGCAGAGCTGATTTTTACCTCCCTTCCTGGGCTCCACTCACTTCCTCAGTATGGAGTTTAGGGGCTAGAGAGTCAGTCAGAAGTGCTTAGGCCGGGATGGATTTTTAGGTTTCTGAAGGATGGCTGAGACACTGAGAACAGAAGAGCAGAAGGAATGCTTCTGTGAACCTTTGAGCTGGCCTGGGTAGAGGGTTGTGGGAGTTTGTGTGCAGGGCAGGCACTGGGGCCATGCCACTCACTCATCACTGGTGACCCCTCCCCCCTTTCTGGTGCAGCAACTGAACCATCCAAACATCATCAAGTATCTGGACTCGTTCATCGAAGACAACGAGCTGAACATTGTGCTGGAGCTGGCTGATGCGGGCGACCTCTCACAGATGATCAAGGTCAGGGACCAGGGGTGGGGCAGCTTCTCTCAACCTTCAGTGAGTGGCCTGTGGGGGGGGGGTAGGGGGGGAGGGGACATTATGTGGAGGCTCCTCCATGTTCAAGCCACACCCTTGGCCTGGCTCTGACCTCAGCACCTATGTGGTTCCCCTTGTCTTCCTGTCAGGTTCAGGGGGTGCACAGAGCAAGGTAGAATGATGCCTAGACAGGCTGGCTACTGGGTAAAGGCTATGGTAACAGACAGGAGCCTTTGGGTCAGTCACACTGCTCCAGACCAGAGAGCATGGGGCCACTTTTCTCTGCAGAAGGAACAGGAACAGATAGTCAACACCTTAAAAGGTCTGACTCCAGTTCCTGTTTTAGGGTTACTGTTGCTGTGATGAAATACCATGATGAAAGGCAAATTGAACAGGAAAAGTTCATTTAGTTTATGCTTCCACATCACTGTCAGGGCAGGAACTCAAGCAGGGTAGGAACCTGGAGGCAGGAGCTGAGGCTGAGGCCATGGAGAGGTGCTGCTTACTGGCTTGCTCTTCATGGCCTACTCAGCCTGCTTTCTTACAGAATCCATGGCCAGCCCAGGGGTGGCCCCACCCACATGAGCTGGGCCCTCCCACATCAATCAGTAATTAAGAAAATGCCCTACAGGCTTGCCTACAGCCTGCTCTTTTGGAGGCAGTTTCTCAATCGAGGTTCCTTCCTCTCAGATGACTCCAGCTTGTGTCAAAGTGACGTAAAACTACCCTGCACAATTGACTGCTTGTCAGCTTGACACACAAGCATATCACTGTTGAGCCTCCAGCCTTTCCTTTCCTGTTTGTTCCCAAGATCACACATTAATATCAGCATCACAATACAAAACATTTTACAAACTTAAAACTTCCCATAGTCTTTACACATCCAAACACTTCAAAATTCAGTCTCTTTAACAATTCCAAGTCTCTTAGAAAGTTTAAAGCCTTTCAACTGTGGGTTCCTGTAAAATAAAGAATAAATTAAATATACTTTACTTCAAGGGGGAGGAACCAGGGCACACTCTGAGCAAAGTAAAACCAAACCCCAGCTGTATAAATAGCTCAGTACAACGTCTGGGATCTACTCACAATCTTCTGGGCTCCTCCAAGGGGCCTGGGTCACTTCTCCAGCTCCACCCTCTGCAGCACTCACAGCTTGTCTTCTAGGCTCTGGCTGGCTCCCCCCTACCGCTGCTGCCACCCTTGGCAGTCCTCCCACGGTACCGGTATCTCACACACTGGGATTCTTTGCGACAGCTGGGCTGCACCTTCACCAATGGCCTGGCCTCTGACAGTGCCACGCCTTAGCCATTCTCCATGTCCTCTGCAGGTCTTCAAAACCACCGGGGTGGATCTTACACTACCAAGTTCAGCTGCCAGCACAGGGTACCACCTTGGCTGCTTCTGAACACACTTCCTGGATGCTGACCTTCAGGAAACACTTCCCCTTGGCGATGCTGGTCTCTTCTTAGTCACCAATGAGTTCTCAGCTCCAGCCCACCAGCAAAGCAGAGGTTTAACGTTAGTGGTTCCATTCTCTTGTTAATCATAGCCAGTTTTTTCAGCCTCAGCTAAACAGAACCAGATTCTTAGTTCAAAATATGCAGCAGCCCATTAAATGACATGGTTCCAGCTGCCATGTTCTATAGTAGGGGAAACTGAGGCCCAGAAAGGCTGGCTTGCCTGAGAACACCCACCATGTGGGAACTCAGACTATGTTTACCTGGCTTGGCACTGGTTAGTCCACATGATCTTCGCAGCCTCTGGACAGGTGGAGTCTTCATTACCGGCAGTGAGGATTCTACGCCTGCTGTGTGAGGGATTGAGCGGCTGTAAGCCCCATAAAACTCAGTGCCAGTCTCTGATATTTCCTAAACTATCATGTCCCTGTCCCAGGACTCAGGAGTGGAACTACTGTGGGTTTGGTTTCAGGGACACAGCAGCTCCAATGGGGGAGTGCTAAAGCACTGAGCTCAGAGAGGTTTAGTCTCCAGCCAGAGGCAACACAGCCTGTAGATGGAAAAGCCCTAACCCATAGCCTCCAATCCTTGCTTCTCCCTCAAGGCCCTCATGTCCCTGCTGGCATGGGTCCCCAGCCCCTAAAGTGGACCCCCATCTGCCTCCCCTGAACCTAGTCTGTGTCCTAAGTAGGCCATTCTCAAGCCCCACGCTGAGCCCCCAAATGTACCTGGATATGGCTGGCTTGGATTCTGTCTTCCTAGCAGGCACCAGGGACTGAGCAATTGTTTATCAGTTGCTCTTCAGAAATTCGGCCCCTAGGAATATGGTGTCGCTGGGAAGCGGCATTACTGAGCCGTTATCACCTGCTTTTATATTTCCGCTGACATATGAATGCATTTGCAGGGGTGTTAATCTCCATGCGGATCCCTGGTGGGAGCAGACGTGATACATCATGTCTTGGCCCCTTCACTCGGTTCTTCTTCACTTGCCATCTCCCCTAACATTACCTGAGCCTATATGGAGCTCTCCACCATCTCGCCATATGCCAGGCCCCACCTCCGGGTGCCACAATTGCTAGTGGTGCCTGGCGCTTGAGTTCTATCAGGAAGGCAGGCTCCTGAGTGAGCCAAGGTCAGAGCCCGTGGAAACAGAGGGGGCTTCCTGGAGGAGGGGATCCCTGAGCTGAGTCCAGAGCAGGCAGGGAGGGAGAACAGAAGGGAAGAGCTGTGTAAGCACCCAGGAAGGTGAGATACACTGGGGTCCACCAGGAGCACTGGGTGAGGTGGCAACCACACTGAGTTTCTTAGTTCAGGCTCAGGATTGGGACTGTGCCGGACTGACAGGCTCTTCCGAAGACTCCTGGAGGGAGCAGATACAGTGAGCCTTGTGTTTGGAAGAGGGCTGGGTGGAGATGGCGCAGGAGCAGAGAAGTGGAGTCTCCTCCTTACCCTGCACATACCCTGTGGAATAGAGTTGGGAGACAGACGGCCCTGGGCAGGGGCCGGTGCTAGGCAAATGCTCCCATTCCTGAGCTCTAGTGTCTACCTTTCCCCATGACCTTTTAGGAGAGGATTCTGGGAAAGGGCTGTAGGCCAGGCCAACTCCTTCAGACTAAAGGAGACAGCCTGGGTAGGCAGCCCACCAGCTGGTAGCCAGCCTCTCTATGTGCCCGGAACTGGTTTTGGCTCAGAGTTCAGGTGGCTCAGGCTCCACAAAGAACTAACTTTGGGGAGTGTGAAGGCTGTTTCTGCCCCAGCCTCATCCTCCATCCTCCCTGGCAAATGTCTCTCCTCTCTTCCCTGCCTAAAACAGCCGTCAGCACAGGCTTCCTCACAGGCAGCACTGTGAGGAAGGCTGCAGCCCCAGCCAGCAGGGGAGTTGGAGCAGTGCCCTCGCTGGACACACGGGATGGTTTAGCAGTCCCCTGCACCCACTTTCCTCATACCCAGCACAGTGCCACGTGCCTGGTAGGATCCGTTGCCACACCCCTTCCCGATCTTCTCTAGGTATCCAGGGGAACCCAGCCTTTGCAACTCTAAGCCTGGGTCACACCACAGTGTCCCCCCCTGGCCTTAGAGGTCACTGGCCAGCAGGGCCTGTGTCCTGAGAGCTTGCAGCCTCGGGGGCCACTCAGCCACCGTGGTGGCATTCTTTACAGGGCTGGCTGGTGAAGCCAGAGCTGCCACTGTCTGAAACCCACCAGAGACTCTGTGCCTTCCTACTAAATGTCAGGCGGCACTTATAGAATATGACATTTAGAAAATCACCGCTCTCGGCTGCACACGTCCCCACGTAAACACTGTAATGAGGACCAAATAACATTATGGTGTAAATAACAGCCCACCCAGCCTGGCCCAGGGGCCTGGGGGTGGCCCAGAGCAAAGATCTTCTGGGAGATCAGAACAGCTAGCCCTTCAGGTCCTCCTGGAAGGCCCTCAGGAGAGCCACACAAGGGGTTTTACTTCCAGGCCAGTAGCTGGCAACTGTCGTGGCCCTGCATCTGGAGGTGCCCAGCTCTGGATCCTAGCCTCAGTGCCCCTGCAGCTTAGCCATGGGCCTGTGCCTGAGCCTCTCTAGGCATGGTCCCTGTCACAGGTTCCCAGCATCATTAGGTGCGCTGAGCTCAGAAGGCCTAACTGTCCTCCACTTTGTAGCCCTCAGTGCCTTCATGTTTCTTGCTGAGGGCCCAGCAGCACGGCATGACTGAGCATGACTCTGCACGGCCTGTTCCTTCCCCAGGTTGGGCAGGCGCCCTAGTAGTTCCTGGCTTCTTACACCAGAATAGCTGCTTGGCGGTGGGCCACAGTGCTGCCTCTTGCCACTAGAACCACAGCTTGGTGACCAGGTAACTGGCGTGCCAGCCATTGCCCTGCACCTCAGTACAGCACTGGTGCCCAGGAGCTCACACACTCCAACACACACATGCTGTTAGCTCAGCTGTGCTAACAGGATAGTGCAGGATGCGTTCCTGCACTATCCTTCCAGAACCTTCTATTTCAGTACAGCCTCAGAGAGCTGATTTTTGGCTCTCCCCACCCCCGGAAGTTGAATGGGTGTTTTTTTCCATGGGGGAGGGGTTTACTAGGTGTCCTGGCTAATTTTATGTCAACTTGACATAGGCCAAAGAAATCTGAGAGGAGGGAACCTCAACTGAGAAAAATGTAGCCGTAAGATCCTGCCACTGGCAGGCAAGACTGTAAGGCATTTTCTTATTTAGCGATTGATGGGGGAGGGCCCAGGCCCTTGTGGGTGGTACTACCCCTCTGGGCTGGGTTCTAGAAGAAAGCAGATTGAGCAGACCGTGAGGAGCAAGCCAGTAAGCAACACCCTTCCATGGCCTCTGCGCCAGCTCCGCCTCCAGGTTCCTGCCCTGACTTCCATGACAGACCGTGATAGGAAAGTAGTAGATCAAATAAGCCTTTTCTTCCCAGACTTGCTTTGGTCGTGGTGTTTTGTCGCAGCAGTAGAAACCCTATCTGAGACACTGGGCAAGGAGGCAGATTACTGCCCACTGAAACCAAGGGTCTATTTGAGAACATTAAGCCCATCTCTTCAAGGGTTACTATTCCTTTAAGAGTCACATGACACTGAGACTTGGCTCTGAGGACATGGGGGCAACACTGGCTGCCTCTCCGGCACAGCGTGAATGCCCTCTTCCCACACCAGGCCAGGGCCAGGGTGAGAGTCCTTACCCTCCCCCGCCCCCTGTGATCATAGTCTCTTCCTTGGGCATCCCTCTGGGCCAGGCTCTGACCCCTCATGACCTCATGGTGCAGAGTTCATCTGCCACCCCCCCCACCCCCCCACCCCCACCTCCCAGAGCTCTGCTGGGCTGAAGGGAGGTGTTGACACGACATTCCATCCGGCCTGGCCCTTCATTGTTTGCTCAGCCCTTGCTGGGGCAATCACCGTGCCACCCCTCCTGGAACAGCATGCTCACCCAGGCCTGTCTGTCTGTCACCCCACAGTACTTTAAGAAGCAGAAACGGCTCATTCCCGAGAGGACGGTGTGGAAGTACTTTGTGCAGCTGTGCAGCGCCGTGGAGCACATGCACTCCCGACGTGTGATGCACCGAGGTGCGTGGCCCATGGGCCTGGGACCCCAGCCCAGAGCTCTTAGCGCCCCAACGAGCTGCTCTGACAGGGCATTTAGATATCCAACGTCTGTTCCATGTGAGGAGCCGCCTGTGAGAACCAGAGAGTCCCCTCATGCCAGATAGTCATCACCTAAGTTTCAGGGAATGGGGCCACCTCAGCACCCTGTCTCCACTCATGCCAGCTGTGGCCAATCCTGGCGCTGAGGCCAGTTTTCCCCAGAGAAAGAGTGCCCCGGGGGCTTTGACATCTTGGTAGGCATTGACTGAGGGAACTACACCCCACCCCACCCCAGAAGGTGAGGCGAGACAGCAGTGAGTGCTTTTGAGAGGCATTTCAAGTTGTGAGGAAGCCTGTGGGGAAGGTGTCTTCTTTACTTATCCCAGTGGAGTTGGTGTCACCTGTGTGAGGCCCTGCCCTAGTCACTGCGTGGTAAAGCTTACTGCTGAGTATTGTCTGACAGTGTCTGCTGTACGGTCGACAGTCGTCTGACACCAGGGAGGCAGCTGTACAAAAGGAGACAGTAGTATAGAAATCTCTGTTCCCCACTCATGGCCAGCCTGTGAAGTAGGGGAAGACAGACTCATGTTACACGTGAGGAAAGGGAGGTTTCAGGGAGCAACTGTCCCGAGGTTCCACAGTGAGTGGAAAGCAGAGTCTCAGGGAAAGGAACCCCCTATGGGTTTTGATGTCTTAGTAGGAGTTGACTTTGCCTACCCATCACTGAAAGGTCCTTCATAGTCACTCCCAGGCCTCCTCGTGTTCCTTGTAAGCCTGTTCTCCCCATACCAAACCCATGTCCTCGCTCTGTAGACATCAAGCCTGCCAACGTGTTCATCACAGCTACGGGCATTGTGAAGCTTGGCGACCTCGGCCTGGGACGCTTCTTCAGCTCCGAGACCACTGCGGCCCACTCACTAGGTAAGGGGGCAGTGTCCCCTGCCGTCCCTGGGTGACCTGGCCAGAAGGGCAGAAATTCTCCTGGAAGTATTTGCATAAAGTGGGGAAGATGGTTTTTTGGATCCTAGAGTTTACCCTTGCTTTGGGATAGATCCAGAGTAGAGGAAACTGAGGCCCAGAGGGGCCACTGGACAGGGGTGGGGGATCTCCCTACTCCCCCAGGTCATCTCTTGAGTACTTCCTGGAAGGCGAACACTGTTATACAGAGCAGGCTGCATCTGCCTGGTCTGTGGTCCCTTTGCTGTGCCCTATTGGCCCTGTGACCTACCCCCTACATAGACCACTTGCTACACCGAAAAAGCAATCTCCGGGTCTGGGGCTGGGCGGCTGGACTGTGAGGAGGGGCAGCTGGGAAAGCACCACCTCCACCTGTGGGAACTGTGCATGAGCTTGGGCTGATGCTAATACTGGGTGGCCGGGTATGTACAGGCCTTGAAGCCCCTGTTGGGGGGTGGGGAGGGTGGCCGCTGAGGGACAGTAAGCTGGAAGACGCGGTCAGATGGGCTTCAGATGGGACACAGATGAGGCTGTGTCAACTTGAGAGTCTGTGTGCCTGGAAGTGATGGAGCTCGGGGCCTCTTCCCTTTAATTAGTGTATAGGAGCCAGCATAGTGGGAGACTGGTATCCTGTGCAGTTAGCCCAGATGCAGCAGGGTATCACCAGGAATCCACAAGAGGCAGGTGTCTCCCTCTTCCTCCTGCTAGTCGGTTCCCAGCATCTCCTGGGCATCACTAGGGTAGACAGAAGGGACCCGGGCAGCATGTGTGTGCCCACCTCCCAGCAAAACCTCTGGTTCAGCTCATTTCCACCCCATTCCAAAGCTCCAGTCTGGGTGCCTCCCATCCCCCAACACCTGGGTGCCTGCAGCCAGCCATGTGCCAACAGCAGCTTCTGGTGGCGGCAGGGGTGCTCTGTCGTTAACTTCCCTCTGGAAACTGTCGCTGTTCATTCAGGTCACGATGGCTCAGACGCAAGGCATGCACTTGTGAGAAATGAGCCAGCTGCTTGCAGGAGTGTGACAAGGGATTGGCCTCCACCCAACCCTGGGAACGCTGGGGCTTGCCTCTCCCTTGACCCTCTTGGTTCCCTGGCCCCAAGGAAAAGCTGTGTAGGGGCCAACCCCAAGGACCTAAGGATGTCCTGTCACATCTCCACTGGCCTTCGGGGTCAATAGGATCTAGAAACTGGAACTCAGGGCATTGAGTGACTTCAAGGTCACATGGTGTCCCTCAAAACCTACTTGGCCTGTTCTAGGTTCCTCCTTCAAGGTCAGGGCCAGGAGGTTCCCTCAGGAATCCCTAGCCACTGACTCCATAAATAGAAGGAAGCCTCAGTTTCCCAGTCCGTTCTGACCTGTTTCCTGAGGATGCTTTTTCCCTGTGGTGTGGATGACAGAACTCAGGGCCTCCCCCATGCTAGAAAAGCAAACGCTCTACCCCTGCTGGTGTACCTCAGCCCCTATTTGGCTTAAGAATTTGGAAAAGGTTGGAACTCAGAGGGAAACTGTCAGAGAAGAGCAAAAGCACTGCCTCCTGGGCCTGTCAGTCAGGCCCAAGTCCCACTCTGTCCTGTCTTGGAGAAGATGGCTGCAATGGCTAGTCAGAGCTGGTTAGGATCGTCTTGTGAGGGACGGCAGAGACCCGGCTCCTCCGACAGTGTGATTTTATCTGCTTGGACTGCTGCACTTATTACATTAATGAGAAGGAACTGGGACTTGGAAGAGCTCACCCTCATAGGCTGGGTACCTCCTGAGGCCTCCTGAGCACAGGCCCTGCAAGATGGGTGCAGGGTGCCTCCGGGGCCCATCCCTGCCCCAGGCCATGTGCACCTGAGTCCAGGAGGCACCATGAAGCTGAGGTTTCTCTGCGCTTGCTGAACCAGCTCTGGGAGCTGAGGTGCTTCCTCTGTACCTCCCCCGGAGGCTGACAGTGCAAGCCACAACCCAGGACCAGAAGTCTCCACGTTCCAGGGGAAAGCACCCTTCCCCTGCAGGTTCTGTACACAGCTAAGTGCAAATAAGTCTGGTTGGGCAAGACATGGAGCTAATTGCTATCATACCATGACCCAGGAAGGATGTAGGGGTCCTTCACACCCTGTGTGCGACTATGAATTATTCATCCTCTGCATCAAATGTGCACCTACTATGTGGGGATGCTGGGACAGTAGCATTGTTCCTGCAATCTCCTATTCTCCTAAAGCCGCTGACCAGGAGCAGGGCTTATGCAAATCCCTTCCCTGTCTTCCCTCCCTGGCCCCTCCCTATGCTTGTATTTGCTAACAGGAGGCTGGCATGAAAGGGCATTAGTCAGTGCCATGGTCGGGCTGACAGGTGCGGTACCCAGCGGTGGCAGAGTGGCTGCCTCGGTGTCAGGAATAGGAGCCGTAATTAGAGCTCGGAACAGAATGAGCGTCAGACGAATTACCAGGCAGCAGATCATATTTGTCAGGAAGGATTGCATACATAAAAATTAAGTGACAGTACACGCCGGCATAATGAAAGAAAAATGAAAGATTTGCCTATACACAGCTCACAAGCTACAAGCAAGTGTCTCGCTCCAAGCAACGGCAGCAGCTTCGAGACAAATGGTGGGTCTGGAGAGCAGGAACACAGGCCTTGTGCTTGGCAGCGGTGACAGTGGTGACAGGGCGCCTCAGGCTGAGGCTGGACAGGGCAGGAAGAGAGATTGCTCATACTCAGGCCCCTTGTAGCGATGGCTGGTCTCTTTGGGACTTGGGGAGCAGAGCCTATGGGGGATAACCCCGTAAGAGACAAGCAGGCAAGGGGCTCTGCTACTCCCCAGGCCTAGCTTGGTCATGGCTTGCAGACTGCTCTCTATCCCTGCGCCATGCTGGTCAAGGAGCCACAGATTGGCAGAGGCAAGCTTGTGAGAGGATGGGTGGAAGGCTTTCCCGAAGACCGGAATGTTCATGCACTGTGAGAGTCTAAGCTGTAACCAGAGGAGCCCAGGGTCCCCCAGGATCTGCAGCTACCTTAGCCACCTCTACCCCAGCCTCTTTCTACTGCAGCGTCCATTCATTCACTGTAGGGACAAATCATGAGGTGGGGCTTTAAAAAGACTTGAACGTTTTGCTTTTCTAAGATGGTGTCACACCCAACACTTTCATCTCATTTAGCTGAGGAAGAAACTGAGGCTGAGAGGCTACCTCGGAGGTCACTGGCCTGTGGGTGAGGAATCATCCCATATCCATGGTCTTCTAAGAGCCACCAGACCACTGTGTGTGGTAGTGGGCCCTTGTCAGCAGTGCTGCCATGCTCATGGCCCTGCTGTGTGCGACCACTACGCACTGTGAGGTGGATCGGTGGTCCATGCACACAGACATCCTCAGGGATGCTCCCTCATTAGTGAGAAGTCACTGTGGACCAGACAATGTCCGATCCCTACTTTCCATTGACCAGATGGGAAAACCAGCTGCTAGGCATCACTGATGAGGAACCAAGGCAGAGAGAGTTTCTTGACCTTTGGCTAGAGAGTGGCCAGAACAGGACAGGTCCTACACACAGCTCTGCCTGCCATCCATCCTGGAGTCCAGGCTTCAGCCCCCACCTGGTAGACTAGGCCATAGTGGTTTTTCATGGAGTAGGGAAGGGCAGCTTGCAGACAGACACTGGCCTCTTCTGTGAAATCTGCCTTTTCCATGTCTATTGTTTCGAACAAGTGAGCGTTTCAAACCTAGTCAAGTGTGTTTTGACAGGAGTGTATGTTGGGAGGGGCTCTTTGGTCGGCCTTCCAATTTGAGGGTTGGATATGCTCCTCTTGCTTTTGCACAGTCCTGTACCCCTGCTGTAAGGAGGGACGGAGACCAGGCAGGGCCAGCTCTGCTGCACCTGTGAAACTAAATGGTGCAAGATGGACTGTGTCCCCTGGGGCAGGGCCACTGGCAGGGAAATAACCCCTCCTGCCAGTTTCGCTCCAGTTTCCCCAGAATCACCAATCCCTGGGGTCTGGAGACATCTTCCAGTGGCCTGCTGCGAGTCTGGGTTTCTTTTGAAGTCTGCTTCATCTGCTACACACAAGGAATGCGTTATGCTCCGTCATGTTTCCATGTTTGTCATGGTAGGTAGAGTGGCTTAGTGGGGGAACAGCTTCCTACTCTCCTCCATCTCCATAGTACCCCACCTTTAAGAGGCACAAACTATGAGGAAGCCTGAGTCAGGGGATCAGAGGGTACAGTGCCCTCATAAACTGCCCTCAGCTATTGATTCCCAGTTGAAACAAGTAGGTGATGGCTCAGTGGCTCCTCTCAGACTAGCACTGGCAATGTGCTCACAGAAGCTTGAGAGAGGGACAAGTGGCCTAATTCCTATGGATCACCTCACCCGAGAGTCCCTCCCGCCTGGGCCTGGAAGAGATAAAAGGAGCCCAGAACAACTGGGAAGAGCCACGGGAACCTACCCTTGCAGTGCAGCCTTGCTGGGATACAACTTCTGATGTCTGTCTGCTGGGCAGCATCGTACCATAATCCTTGTATTATGGCTACCTCCAACTGTGGAACCTGGGTGCTGAATTCCAATGATGCTTAATCCCTAGGTTCCCACTGCTGACCAGGATCGGTGGAGTCTGTTTTGTGGTTTGGCTGTGACACCTTTATGGCTTAACGCCTGGCCATTGGTTTGGTTTTGTGTCCTCATGCCTGGAGTGCACAGGTGTTTCTTCCTGATATCCCACTTGACCTCAAGAGGGTCACCCAGAGCTGTACATGTTGGCTGGCAGCTCTTTCACTCAGGAGCCACCAGCCCCTGATTCCATGGCATATGCATACTAGAGAGGGTGTCAAATTTTCAACCATGTCTTTGAGTGATGGCTGCTGTTGTGAAAAGCAATAGTCGTCGTTAGACATGTGGATTTATGGGACCATGACTGTCAGACCATTGTCTGTTAAATAAGTGGAGCATTAGGCTGCAAAGAAAAAGAGTAAAAAGACATGCACAGCCTGCTATATGATATACCCGTGACCCCTGGACTCCTGCTGTGGACCAGAGCTGTGTTCAGGAGCCACAGCCAGAGACTTAGCATATAGTTTTTTTTTTTTTTTTTGGGGGGGGGGGGCTGTTTCAGACCCAAACCATCTTGGTAGGCAGATAGAGCCTGAGGCAATTTTCTCTGTCCCTGTGTATTAGTTATTTTCTTGTTGCTGTGACTAAATACCATGACCAAGGCAACTTACAGAAGAAAAGCTTATTCTGGCTCACAGTTCTAGAGGGAGAGACCACAATGGGGAAGCATGGATACTATCCTGGCTAGCTTCGTGTCAGTGTGATACAAGCTACAGTCATCAGAGCCTCAACTGAGAAAATGCCTCAATAAGATCAGTTGGCATTTTATTAATTAGTGATTGGTGTGGGAGGGCCCAGCCCATTGTGGGTAGTGCCATCCCTGGTGGCCCTGGGTTCTGTAAGATAGCAGCCTGAGTAAGCAGCACCCCTCCATGACCTCTGCATTGACTCCTGCCTCCAGGTTTCTGCTGTGGTTTGAGTTCTTGCCCTGACCTCCTTCAGTGATGGACTATGGATGTGAAAGTGTAAGCCCTTTCCTCCCCAATTTGTTTTGGTCATGGTGTTTCTTCACAGCAATAGAACGGTAACCAAGACAGCAGCAAACAGCCAGAGCAGGAAGCTGAGAGATGATACTGAACTGAAAGTGGGATGAGGTATAAACTCTTAAAGCACTCCCCCACTGACATACTTCCTTTAGCAAGGCTGTACCTCTTAAAGGTAAAGGCTGTATCATTACCTCCTGAAACAGCACAATCATCTGGGGATCAAGTGTTCAAGTACCCAAGCCTATGGGGGGACATTTCACATTCCATCCGTCACACCCTGGCTTGCCATTTGCCTCTGAGTGGTATCTTTGGAGCCCTGAAGGATTTTATCATCACGAAGTTGATCATTTTAGCGGCTCTTCCCCTCTTCTGTAAACCTCTTGATCTGCCTCAGCCTCCATTTCCCCTCATGTGTCTTGGTCAACATGGGCAGTGACTCTTTTCTGTTGAGAACTTCTCCTGGATCATCCTAAAAGGGACAGGTCACTTGTCTTTCTGCACTGAGTAGTGACATCGAAACCTGACTATGTGGCCCCCAACCAGTTCTTAAGTCAGAGGAGGTCCTAGGGACCCACCCAAAGTCCTTGGGGTCATAGGACCATTTCCTTGCCCTGTTAATATGGGCAAACATCTCAACTGACTAAGGTGGGGACAGGCTGTCTCTCTTCTCCGAGCCCCTGTTCTTGCCCCACTGAGACCCAGATCCTAAGTCGCGCCCCTTGCTGTGTTGCAGTGGGAACACCATACTACATGTCACCTGAGAGGATCCATGAAAATGGCTACAACTTCAAGTCAGACATCTGGTCCCTAGGCTGCCTGCTGTATGAGGTAAGTCTCTGATGTGCAGCTCGGTGACCTATGGGGTCTTCCATGGAGGCACAGGTAAAACAGGCTCACCCTACCCGTTCATGGGAACACTAGGCTGCACAAACTCACCCTTGGGGTCCTTCATCCCTCAGCGGACATGTTCTCAGTAATGTGGTCCAGGCAGTGGCTGCTGGAAGGATGGTTGGTAGTAAATTATATTGCTGGGCTCCAAGAACGGAATGGAATATCATGGCATCCTTACTGCTCTTCCCTGGTTTCTTTGGTAACAACATTTGTATATTATTCATCTAAAAACAGGTCATACTAAGGCACTGGGAATGGTTATGAGTCAGGTTCAGCTCATGCCTGTTACTCCTCTGTACCCTATTTTTCCAGGCCAACAATGTGTGTCTCACTGCAGAGCGTTCTTCTCCCTAGCTGTGGAATGGGGCCATCCATGGCTGTTTCCAGATATGGTAGCCAGCTTGGAGCGAGGGACAGGACTGTTGTTTTGGTATGCCCGGAATGAGATAAAATGAAAAGCATAAGCCCTACTCATGTCAGATAGCCATGAAAGGGAAGGGGGCTGGGAATGGGTCTGTGGGGAGCACAGGACACCAGAAGAGGGAAGCTTGGACCATCTGCTGTCTCCATGTTGGCGGCTGCACGTCCCACCTGGGACCCACTGCTGAGCTCTGGACACCTGGCCACAACCTCACCCGTCTTTTGCTTGCTGGCGCTGATGTGGGGTATGGGTCTGACTTGGACTGGTCAACCTGAAGAGCCCCATTATTAAACTGATACTGTTGGGGGCTGAAGCAGTCACTCAGGAAAGTGCTCCAGGCTCTACCCAGGGAGACTGATTCCTTGGCTTCTGGGTACTGTCCCATGACCCCACAGCATAAGCTGCAGGCACACACTGACCCACTGATCCCTGCAAGGCGCTTTGGCAGATGGGATCGCAGACTCCTGGCTTCCAGATGGATTTCTGAGGTTGAAACTTCACATCTCTTTACAAGGTGTAGTCTGTCTTTTTGAGCCAGGAGCTTGAGATTCCTTAGGGCAGACGGTGAATCTTTTTTCTTTCTGCAGGGGAGGGGGTAGAAGGTGGAGGGGCAGAACCAGGGCCTGGCATGAGAGGAGTGCTGCCACTGAGCCGTGCCCCAGTTGAAGATGGTGCATTTTAAATGCTTGGCTGAAAGGGATGCCCTTGTGGACTGGTTGTGTGGGCCACTTCCTGGGGCTAGGTAGCCCAGTGTCATCAGGAAGGCCTATTGGCAGTCAGGCTGGAACAGTCAACAGTGGGGCAGGTTGAGACTTTGGGTTTCAGTTTCAGGAACAGACTTAATGACTAGGGCCTGGGGTCAGGGGGATTCAGAGATTCCTCTAAGAGCGTCACCATATTTGTCAGGTGCTGGGGTGACGGGCAGCTGTTCAGGAACTTCCAAATATTCTTAATATGTCAGGTCAGCAAGACTGAGTGATTATGACTTGATGTTTGTGAGCATGACCACAGAACTCGTAGCTATTTGGCCTCCTAGGGCAGGGATGCAGTGTCTGGCAGGAGTCCAGACTGGGCCAAAGGCCCCAAGGTCCAAGTCTCAGCACCAGCCTTCTCCACTGGACAGGGGCAAGTCAGCCCTTACCCCACGGGCTCCAGCTGTGTGTGGGATGGAGTCTGCCTGTCCCGTAGAGAGCACACGAGGCTCTGTAATTGAGGCACCCAGCTCCAGACACTCCGGCCTCTCTGTGAACCCACCGACCAGCTGAGCTGAGCAGCTGGCATTTACTGCCAGTCTTTAGAAGCCCAACAGCTTGACACATTTCCCTTTTTGCTTTGGCCAACAGGAGGTCTCAGCACAGCTCAGCTTGGGCCCTCATGGAGGGAGTCCCCTTTGACCTAGCCTCATGTATACTGTCTCAAGTCCAGATGGCTTATCATTTTCTTTTTCCATCCCGTGTTATGTATTTTCAGAAGCTGCTTCCTGTCCCCTTAGAGGCACGAGTCTCTAAACACAAACAAATACAGGCCAGCCTGGCTGAGAGGAGAGCCGTGTGCATCCCCCAGGGCCGGTGGAAGATGACAGCTGGCTCCCTGTGCTGCTGCCAGCCCTGGGCCCTGCCTGATTCTTTGTTAGAGCTCTTCAGAGGCACATGCAGCCCAGGCTTGGTCTACACCATGCCCACAGTCATGGCCTTGATGGGTCCCAGCCAAGCAGGCTGTTCTAAGTCTTGGTGCCTACCACATACCTAAGGATGTGGCTTCCAGCGTGGTGGCAGAGCTCGGCTCAGTCAGTGATTTAGTTGTTGGCAGTGTGTTGCTGTGTGTCTTGTAGCCATGCAGGAGCAAAAGGCAGTGGGAAGCCAAATAAATCAATTATTTCCTCTAGGAATATTTGCCCAAGGACAGGATAAAAGACGGCCATGGCTACTCATGGGCTGCCCTCAGAGGTGACATTGGGCTCTGTTGAAGCTGGCATCCCTCTGCACCCCTGCAGTGCATCAGGGGAGAAGTGTGTGTATTTTCCTAGCAGGCAAGGAGGGGCCTCATCTGGCCCAGCACTGGGTAATTGGCAAGAGACGTCCTGCAGTCATGGCTGCCACCTCCCAGAGATCACCTGTGGTGTCTTCCCATGGTATCAGCTTAAAGAGCTGGGCCAAATCTCCCCCCCCCCACACACACTTTCTGCCTAAGACCACTGAGGATTCATGTGGCCCCTGTGGAACATATGCTGTGTCACCATGACCTGGGGCTCAAAGTGTACAAACCCAGAAACAATCCCCTTGACATCCTTTCTTGAACTCACCACTGGCTGAAGGGTAGAAGTCCCTGTGCCCCTTTTCTCTGGAGGAAGTGGAGTGACAGTGAAGCTGAAGACTCACTTGGTACCAGCCCCTTGCAGCGGGGGACAGACCCAGCACATCAGTAAGCTGGGGACAGCTGCTTTGGAATTCTGGCTTGAACAGTGGAATGGCCTGGAAAGCCCCTCCCTCAGAGAACTGGGCCACACAGGACAAAAGACGGCCATGGATACTCATGGGCTGCCCTCAAAGGTGACATTGGGCTCTGTTGAAACTGGTGATCTCCTCCTGATCACCCTTCACTCCCAGGCTGTGCTTACGAGAAGTTAGGTGACAGACAAGAGTTGTCCGGGCCCTTTTTCTAAGCCTCCTCCCTCCACAGCCTAGGTTCTTTGAGACACAGACACATACCCCTTAGACGTCTGAATCACACTGAAGAGACCCATGACTCTGGAAGTATCAAGTATTTGGCCCCCCAACAGCAAGTCCCTTGCTCCAACCTGCCAGGGGCTGGCCGGCCACTGGCCTGAGTAGATCTTGCCATCCTGGGTAATTGTTATAATCCCATGTCGCCAGGAGGCCCCCAAGTTACTTCACAGTCCGCTGTCCTTATCAGGGTGGCAGGCCCACGGCCAGCAGCTGGACGGTGAGTAGTTCGGACATGGCTTCCGACAGAACCTGCAGCTTAGGATAAAGAAGCCTTGTACCAGGGAATGTGCTCTGCTGGTGCTGTGCAGGGAGGCTCTCTGGGGTGATGAGGGAATTGCCCCAGTTTTCTGGGCCATTTGGAGTTAGATTGGCCTGCTGAAGGACACATCAGAAGACCGGCATTATCAGACTGACACTCAACACCCACATCCTCCAGAACACTCATCTGGATCCTCCAGCTGTGACTGAGGGCCACTTCGGAGCCTCAGCTGCTCCCTACTATGGTAGCAAATGTCCTTTTGAAGTTGCCCAGTAATCGCTGGCACCAAGGCTCTTGTTTCTTGTTTTCAGTTTTGAAGACATGTTATGCTACTCTGCAGGTTCCGTGACAAAACCAGCTCCTGGGTGTGGGTGGGACCTCCATATACTTCCCGTTCCTTGCCTGGCAGTTATTGCCTTACTGTGAAGTCGGGTTCTTGGGCCAGTTGTCCCTGCCACCACTGAGGGACCCAAGGTCAACAGTCCTGATTACCTACCTGCATGTTTGGCCTAGCCCAGGGTAAATTCCTGCACCTGGGTCTGAGGAAACCCTAAAGAAGCTATCTCTAGACCTAGTGCCCCACCCAACCCTTTCTGAAGATGGCAGGGTGTTCTTGGAACCAGGCTGACCCCAGGGGTGAACAGAGTGTGGGGATGAACCAGGAAGCTAAAGATGTCAGTCACACAGCTTCCTTAAGTTCCTTTCTGCCCTAAACTAGGACTCTGGCCCACTTCCCAGACAGGAGGACATGCTTACCCAATGGGCCTTCACCAGCAGGCAGTTTGTCATTTGGTGGGATGGATCAGTGAGCAGGAATAAGAGCAAACAGGTGGATCCTATTACAGTTCTATCAGCAGATGGGTCCCTCCGCTGCCATGCTAGGCTCTCTCCATGCTCCTGCAGACCCTCTCTAAGGCTTTCCCAAAGTGCCTTGAACACTGGGTGGGGTTGGGAATCTAGGTTCTTGAGGAAGAGGGAAACTGGTAAGTTTCCCCCTGGGTCCCAACAGCCCTGTTACTCACCAGTGCCCATCAGCCTGCCTCTCTTCAAGGTACCCAGGATGGTGTCTGAACCCTGCCGCAACCTGTAGGTTGGGGTTTCCAATATAACAGGGCCAGACAGCCAATTGCAGGGCTCAGCATCTCTCCACCCCGGAGCTTCCTGAGATAGCAGACAGCCTGCAGACCATCAGTGAAGAAAACGGTTACACCTCCCAACTCCACAACTGTCGCAGGAGCATCAGCCCGTCATGCATAACTGTTCACTGAAGTATCATTCAGGCAGACATTCTCTAAGAATGAGGTTGCCACCACTCTTTAGATAAGTTGGTCAGAGCCAGGTATGGTAGTACTTACCTGCAGTCCAGGCACTCAGGAGTTTGAGGCAGGAGGATTACTAGAAATTCAGGCCAGCTTGAGCTACATAATGAATTCTAGGGCAGGCTGCGATAAGAAAGTAAGATCCTGAAAGAAACAAAGATGGGCTAGAGGGGTTCAGCTGGAAAGAGCTTGCCCTGCATAAGGACTTGAGTTAAAATCCCCAGAACTCTGAAAACGTTGTGTGGCGCGCATTTGTACTGGGGGAGGTGGAGACAGGCTGATCCCTGAGGTTCACTGGCCAGTAAGTGTAGCCCACCCACTTGATGAGTTTCATGTCAATGAAGGAACTTATCTCAAAAAAGGTAGACAAGCACTCCTGAGGAATAACGCCGGCTGTTAATAACGTGGCTGTCCCTGGAACCACACACATATGCACATATACAAAAAGAGGGGGGAAAAGACAGCATTTCGAGAATCCGTTGGACCCAGGCAGAGCCCAGTGGGCAGTCTGTTTGTCAGCCAGTTCTTGGGAGAAGGGGCCTAAGTGAGCTGAGGCCTCAGGATTCAAGTCCTTCCTTATCAAAACCCCACCCTCCGTGCACCCCAGGGAGAAGCCCACAGAACACTCAATGCAGTGACGACCAACCACTGGCTCCTCTGGCTTCGGAAATCCTTTTGGACTCTGAGGCTGACGTTTGATCCTTTCTGTCCTTCCCTTGCAGATGGCAGCTCTGCAGAGCCCCTTCTATGGAGACAAGATGAATCTCTTCTCCCTTTGCCAAAAGATCGAGCAGTGTGACTACCCACCTCTCCCGGGGGAACACTACTCTGAGAAGGTGAGCCAGCTGGGGCCAGTCCTCATGTTCTTGCAGAGGGGTGGTCCGGAAGTGCCTGAGGCCTGCGGGATGCAGCAGCACAGAGCTGCACTCGAACTAAATGCCAGGCTAGCGGTACTGAGGTCCAGGGAGGCGAGAGGTGGGCACCCCGAGCTAACTGGTTGGTTTCCTGCTCCATGTAAACAGGCCTGTAACCCTGGAATTCCGACTTTCACATTTTATGCTGGGTGCTAGGGCTTTGGATAGTTACTGGCTGTGTGAAGCTCATCCTCAGAGCCATCATTTTTGTAGATGGGTTAAACTGTATCTCCCTCATGAATAAACTATGAGGGGCAACTAGTACTGGCAGACAGGGCTGTATTCTTCCTTTACTGCCTTCAAGTCTCAGTTTTCTCATCTATAACATGAGGACAAAAACTAGACTCTCCTGTCCAGGATTAATTAATTATTAAGGATTAATGCATGTGACATGCAGAGTAGAGCCAGGCCAGCATCTACCACCACTATCAAAAGTAGCAACTGGTAAGTAACACAGCTCCGTGTAAATATTTGCTAAACATCATCTGTGATGTCTATTGAAGGGGAGTGCCTAAGGTCTTCCCAGGTCCTCTCTGCCAGACTCCAGGCCACTCTTTCATGGTAACAGCTCACATTTATGGAACCTTGCCTCATTATGGTTCCACTGAGGCAGTGGTTCTCAGCATCATGACCTCTTGAGGATCAAATTATGGGAGTAGGACATCAGATATCCTGTATATCATAGTTACATTACAATTCATAAAAGTAGCAAAGTTATAGATATGAACAACGAAATAATTTTATGGTTGGGAGTCACAATATGAGGAACCGTATTCAGGGTCACTGCATTAGGAAGGTTGAGAACCACTGCACCAAGAAAAGCTCATTGTCCAGATGGGTTGCGGGCTTTACAGGGAGCATTTTGTGTATGGGAGCAAGGCCTAGGCAGAAGCATGCAGCCTCCAAGCCAGCCTCCAGGCCCACCGGCCTCACCTGTGCAGAGTGCCACCCCTGGGGTGGGGAGGTCAGGGCATTTGGAGAATTGTGCAGCGCGCTTCTCTCCTAGCATCTGTTCCAGTGGCGTGCATTCTCACTAGCCATTTGGGGAAAGTATCTGTGGTCTGGAGAACAAGCTGGCAGGACAGGAAGAACGTGTTACATTCTTCACAAAGCTCGCTGCTCATTGCCTTGCTCCTTTCCTTATTTAAACTAAAACTTATGCACTACTAGATGACATGTGACTTGGCTCTAATCAGTTGTGCTCCTGTGCCAGTCTGCCAATGGGCACCATCCACCCCACTTCAGTTGTACCGCAGACATGAAAGCCCCCGAGATCTTAGCTTTATCTCCTAGGGCAGCCATTCTCCCTCACTAGGCACATCCTGGCAGGCAGCAGCTCCTGATCCTGCACAGGGTCTGTCCCTAACACACCCCACTTTTAAAGCTATCATCATAATATATGGTGGGTTTTTTCTGTTTGTTTATCTTTTTGACTGGTAACTGGGTAGCCTCATTTCTAAGTGATTAGAGGACAGACGTCATCTTGACCTGGTTTTCTTTTCACCTGATGGGTCAGCCATGATTCCCTTCAAAATCACCGTCTGTAGGTGATCTTGGACTCCAGATGTGCTGCACACAACACCTTCATCAGCTCATGGATTCCCAGTGTTTAAAAAGCTGTGGGATCACAAAATAGGCCAGTTAAGCCAGCTCAGTGTGGTAGCATTTCCAGGAATGGCCCCTTGCCTGAGGTGGGTGCTGCAGACCCAGGGCCCCGGAACATCCCTGGGCACCCCCCGCAGATTGTCATCTGAGTCCCTAGAGCTCACTGGTCCAGGACCTCCCCTCTCTCTTCTCTTGCTGGTGACCACTAGTACCCCCAGCAGATGGAAAATGTTGCAGCCTGCTCAGTGTTGCACCTTTAAGATCCGGGCTTTTTAAGGTCATTATTTTAATTACCATTAAAATAACTAGCACTCTGGCTATCAGAACATGAGGGATCAGAGGCTTAAGGCACCCCTCCCCCACCCTGGCGGGCAAAGCCCTCAGTGTCTGGATAATTAAAAGCGTGTCTTTCATGAGCACAATGAAGAGGCCAGGGGGTGTGCAGACTGCAGCCTTGCTGCATGTTAATGCATTTATTATGATCAATAAGCCCTTTCCTTGAGTTTTCTCTGGTTTGGGCTTTTGTGTGACTGACAACAGACATACATGTGCACAGGGTACTCTTACAAACCTGCACAAAGGTGTGTACAGCTGAAAATTGAAGATTATTTGAGGGTAAAATTCTCAGGGTCTTAAAGCATCACCTTTGGAAGCAGACAGGCCTGCGCCTGCATGTGGCCATATATACCTTCCACTGCAAAGCACTCTTTACTTGAAAGGGGACAACAAAACCATCTGAAGTACTGTGTGGCAGAACATGTGGGTATAGGTAAAAGTACTTGAGCACTTCAAGGCTAACAGAATTGTCTTGCCTTGCAGCTTCGGGAACTGGTCAGCATGTGTATCTACCCTGACCCTGACCACCGACCTGACATTGGATATGTGCACCAGGTGGCTAAGCAGATGCATGTCTGGACCTCCAGCACCTGAATGCAACACACCTCATCAAAGCCAAACATCACTTGTCTTACTCGAGTCCTCTCCCCCAAGTGGTACCTAGAAGCCTCCACGGCCAAGACCAGAGGGCTCAGCTGGCTCCCATAGGTGGCTGCTCGGCCACTGCGCTGAAAACAGCTGTGTTATGGTCAAACTCCAAAGTCCTTTCTTTGAACTGTTGCAGACAATCTAAGCTGGTCTATTAGTGGGGGAAGAGGCTTGGCAGTCACTGAAGCCCCTTGTTCCAACTGAAATGTGAACCTCTGCCTGGCTGCTTCAGACCTGTCCAGGCCCACAATGTCAGGAGACTTGAAAGGAGCTGGGTGACTGGTGTGTGGTGAGCCTTTGCAAATGGTTAGCACCAGTTGGTTTAGTTCTTAGTACCTTCCCATACAATCAGTCTGAGTGCTTCATTTACTCTTTTGTAAAGGGAGACAATGAAAATAATGGTTTAGAGTAGAGATTTCACTAATATTTTCTCTGCATTTTCTAACTTGTTAAGTGACAGTGAGGAGCACCCAGTGTCAGGTATTGTGAGGCAAGTGGCATCTGGGAGATAGGGTACTCCACTATCTTCTGAGCCCTGCCAGATACCATCCCCTGCTGGAATGCTATGGCTCACTTTAGGATCAGTGTGGAGCATTTTCATGGGGGGAAGACAGCAAGAAAACTCCAAAAGCTTTGATCTCAAAGCTTTAAAAACTTTTTAAAATTTTATTCTTTAAAAATTTTGGTTCTCTATCTTCCTAGTAACTTGGGCCTTTCTGAGCCTTCATTTCCTCATCTGCAAATGGGACTAATAAGGTATCTATCTTCCAGGTGGCTGACAGAATTTAAAACAAAAAATGTTACTTAGGTATGGCAGCCTAAGCTTGTTATCCTAGCACTTGGGAGGTAGAGGCGGGCGGATCAAGAATCCAGCGTCACCCTCAGCAACACAGGAAGTTTGAGACAGGACTGGACTACATAAGACCCTATCTCAAAAATAACAACAAACAAATAAGATGCAAATTAGCTAGCAGGTAACCCAAAAATACAACCTGTCACCCCTTCAGAATACTCAAGCCATGGACCATTGGAGTCAAGAATTAAAATTACAGCTGTATTATGTGCAGGAAATCCAGAAATATGTTCATTTACTTTTTGTTCCCAATAGGATTAACTGTGAAGACTAACTTATAAATGTGAATTTAAGGAAACTTAAGTGCTGGCGGAAACAGTCTGAATTTGTTCTTGTATGCCAGTGGTTCTCAATTGTGGGCCCAGACCCCTTCAACAAACCTGTCTCCCAAAATATATCCATTATGATAAAATTACAGTTATATAGTATCAATGAAAATAATTTCATGATTGGGGGTCAAGTAAGGTCTCTGGATGGCTACCAACCTCTTCCAAGGGCCTGCACTCCAAGTACGGCCTCTGCTCAGATCAAGCTCTCCATATTCTAGACAAAATGGGAAGAGGCCTGACTGCTGAGCAGCTCGGGGGTGGCACTAACACCATTTCAATGTTGTCTTCAACTGCAGACCAAACCCAGGACACAACGGCAACACTTCTTGAGGGGCCTTTAGAAACCCTTGTTGGGCCCAGACAGTTTAAGTAACATCAGAATATTTCTAAGTTCTCCAAATAATTCTGACAGTCATCAGCCAAGCTGCTACTCTCGATAAATCCATTGTACTCTCGCAAGCAGTTTCCACAAGAGAAGCTGGCCTTCAGTGTCCCATCCCAGCTCACTCTGGGGGAGGATCAAAGTCACTGTCTCCTTCCTAGCACTAACTCCTGGAAGTTTTCTTGGTCTTTTGTAAGTAGTAGCTCTGTTCTATCTGACTTTGGCACAATTAGCTTCTATAAACCAAAGAACTTAATTTCAACACTCCACCCACTGTCCATACCAAGAGAAACATCTGCCCAATAATACAGCCCTTGGGATGTGCAGTTTCTACCAGCCACCACCCAGAGAAGCACTGCAAAGCAGCAGAGCCCCATGCTCTCCTTCGGTTGCCATTGAGAATGGCCAGAGTGCAGCTCACCAGTTTCACACAGCCAAGTTTCCACCTGCTTTTTTCTAGACCTGAGCATGTACAGTCTAAGAATTCAAACTGAAGAGGTCTGTCTTGTGGGGAAGCGGGGATGGGGAGGGTGTTACTGGGGTAAACTTGGGGCCTTGTACATGCGGGGCAAGCAATCCACTAGGCCAAATCACAGCCTAAGACTCCCTTGCCACCTCTTTCCACTTGAGGTGCAGGCTGTTATATATTGAGTGACCCTGTTAGGGCAAGTGCTTGAAGCTTCCCCCACCCCCCGCCCAAGTGAAGATAAAGTAAGCAAGCATAGGACTGGGCCATACACTTACAGAACCAAAGTACCGAATCTGGTTTCTGACCACAAAGAACTCTTCTGTTTCAGAGGGCCACCCCTCACACATCCACAAAAAGGGGCCACACCTATAACACTCACTTGGAACACAGACTGGTGCTGGAAAGATCCAGAACAAGGAAGGAAAGTCATGACAATAGGAGCCCAACCCCACAGTCCCCACATTACAGCCACTCACTGTGGTTTTCATCTGTTTTTTAATTGAGCCTCACTCGGCAAGCAGTAGCCGAATGCATGTTTTCTGATGGGGTGGGGTGAAGGTGATGTGTACCCCCAGTGATCCAGAGATAACCAACCACCCCAGCACCATTCACGAAGTGTCCATTGTCTGGACAGTCTCTTCTAGCACCTCGATCTCCAGAGTGTTGACTTTCTCAGTGAGGACAGCTGTAGTGCCTTTCTCACACCTGTACCGGCCAAACCTAGTGAGAGAAACAGAAGCAGTTAGACCTCTGCTCAAGTGCCCAGCAAAGTCAAGAAAGAGATATTCTGCCCAGACAATAGCAGGCTTGACTGGAGGCCTTGCTCAGGGACTCTACCTCTGTGACTTCAGGGAGTCAACTTCCTTTCCTTTCCAAATGCTACAAAATGGGGACACTTGGAGGGAGAGGGGCTGTCAAAAAGACTAAAAGAGATAATAGAAAAAGCACTGGTTTTCAAATTCCCTTCCATACCTCATCATCCTCAGTACATACTACTTAGTCATGTGATTTTGGGGCTGCCACTTAAAAAAAAAAAAAATCACTCCCTCCAGTACAGCAAATGTGACACAATATGGCCTTCTGCCCCACACCTCTAGAAGCACCAGCAATACAACAAACAAAGTCCACAGCCAAGCTGCAGGCTCAGCACTTCAACAGCATTCAAGGACAACTGTCCCTTCTGGTCACAGTGGATTACAGCCAGGACACACCCACCTGAGCTGCCTCCTTGGGGCAGAACTCTGAGCACAAAGTGCTCACCCTGATCCACATGTACTCTCCTGACTCTTCAGAGTCCTGACTGCCAAAATGCAGCAGCAGTCAATTGCTCCTCTGCTGTGTTTCTCACTAGAGTGACAGTTCCATCAAGCTGCTATCCGGCCAATGGAAGCTACAAAATTTGTCAAACAGGCACTTGGGCTCCAACAGGGAGCAGAGAAGATACCTGACAGTTCTGGTAGGCTTTAGGAGAAGGTATCCTTTTTTCACAACACATTTGTCCTTGTTCCCTTGAAGTTTAAAGATGTCTCCCGGTCCCCACCAGGCTGGGCCACTAGCAGTTAAGTGTTGCCTTGAAACCAAAGTCCAAATGGCCCTTTGACCTTTATCCCATCTTTAGGTTAAGTGGAGATAAGAGCCTCTGTTCCTTTTGGGTATGGCTGTTGGCCTTAGCAGCATGCAAGGAAGCAGGCAGGTACATGGTGGTGATGGGCATGGAACAACCTTTGCCCTCACTTGTCCATTGTGGGTTCCCTCATCCAGGCAGCATTCTCAGAGCCACCAGTCTAAAGGACAGTGGGGTTCTAGAGTGTGTGAATACTAGTACTACCCCAAGGCAGATCACTGCATACCTACCTGTGCTTAGCCCCTCTCCCTTGTCACTTTATCAGGTACATCCCCACCCCAAAGGCTAGGACAGAACCCAGAGTCTCACACATTTTAGTTCTGCCACAGAACCACATCCCTGGCTCCACAATGCTACCTTTACCACAAAGGTTCCTTTTATAACCTAGTTTCAAGGGTGGCTTTTCAAATTCTCTGCCTGAGAGACTGACTGTTCAGTCCACATGGAACAGAATCACTCACTCCCCACTTTTCTTTCCAAAGGACTGGCATCCTTCAGTGGAAGCTGCTCTCCAAAACCAGCCCTTATCTTAAAGGCAGCTTTCCTTTTAACTGAAGGCCTGAGGAATTGGGACAACACTAGCCTAGCTCCATCATTTCAAATACAGGACTGATACCCAGAGCCACCATGCCAACCAGTGGCCATCCTTATCAACCACCCTACAGCTGTTTTACACTAAGTTTCCACCAAATGCTGACAGCAGCCTACAGTGAAGCGCTGTTGGCACTGAAGACCCATCCTTTCCTTGTGACTCTAGAGCTAGGGACCCTCAGTGGGTGTAGAAGTAAGCCTTCCACAGAGGTCCTCTGCTACTAACTAGAGCCCAGAACGCTCAAGCAGCTGACCAACCAACAAGAACTGTCCATCAATGAGCGACAGGTGCATGCAGACAGCAGTTATCGGGTCTTTTGGACCTAGAACATCACCTCACAGCTCAGATCCTGGCTTGCACCACTAAGATGAGGCATCCATGGAATGTAAGCCTGAACCTGTCTGTGTTCTGTGGCACCACTCTGCAGCACAAACACCAGGAGCCACCAAAGCCATAATTCAGAGGCTCCTAGCCACAGGATTAGAACCTTTAGGATGTCTTGGGCCAGCCCGAAGAAAAAAAGTTGTGGGCTGGCTTCCGTGAAACCTAAACAACTCACAAGATTCTATGCAGGACTTAAGATGCTGAAGAAAACACTGGGAGACGGGACCGGATGACAACACCTCTATGACTCAACTCTCAGCCTGAAGCTCTCTCTTGGACCTATTCCACCTCTCCTGCCAGCACATGAGAGATTAAGACACTTCTCTGTGCCTGACCACAGCCATGATCATAATGTAGCCCTGACTCAAAGGGCCACTGTATAAGCTGCTTTGGAACAGTGGCTTTTCTCAGTGTGGGAAAGAATCCAGAATGCCCAATCCACATGGCATGGAGATACTGAAGGTAGTAGAGCACAGGAAAAACATCATCCCCTTCACTTACCTGGTCCCTTTCTTGTTGGGCACCGAGTATGGACGAAGAAAGTCCAACTTGTTCTTGCTGATGACACACAGATCAATGTTGCTTCCAGACCCTAAGTCATTAAAGATGCCAGCTGAGATAGCCTCACTCACTAGCTTCTTGGCTTCTTCCTCCTGAAAAAGCAAAAGGCAGCCATGATTAATTGTATCCATGGAGAATGACAGACTGCTCAGCAGAGAGAATGCATCTCAGATGTATTCGATCATGAATGGTCAAAACCTCCCTGGAGCAGCAATGGTTGTACTCGCCTTTAATCCCAGCAGTCATGATACAGAGGGAGGTGGATCTCTGTGAGTTCAAGGCCATCCTGGCCTACAGAGTAAGTTCCAGGACAGCCAATTTTACAGAGAAACTATGTCTTGAAAAACCAACCCTGTCTCAAAAAACAAAACAAAACAAAACAACAACAACAAAAACTCTCTAGAACTCCAATGTTTTCACACACACCCCCTGTGTGTGAAAAGGGAAAAGACAGCAAAGAATTCCAATGGCTTGCCTAAAGCTCTTCAGGTGGTTAAGTAGGCTTTTCAAACCCTTCATGCCCATGCCCCTTCTACAGCACAATGTTTTCCATCATATGCTGCCAGCATCTATCATTTGAAGCAAGACACAGTAAGTTATTCTCATAAGGGCTGGACAGTACACATTTTAAGTTTCTGGGTACAGTTTTGTCTGTTACAACTACTCAACACCACCACTTAGCATAAAACAGCCACAGACAATGCATAAACAGGGTGATTATGTGACCTAATAAAACTTTATTAACAAAACAGGTGTTAGGCTGGATTTGTCTCATGGACTTAGTTTGCTAAATGATCAAAGTGTCTTAACATTGACTCTAGGACAGAATACTCCCATCCAAGGATAGGGAAAGACAAAGCTGCACCTTATAAAATAAAGGAGAGAGGTAACAGGTTCAGAAAAAGGAAAAACAAACACACACAAACTTCCTGGTAACATAATGGAGAAAATCAGCACTGTGGGTCTGAGATAAGCTGATACCAAAGCACAATCATAGTTCTGGGAAAATGCTTGCAGAGCCAAGCATGATTTGCCCCCACAGAAATTGTTTCTACCCATCTATGAGCCTACTTGCTGTTTCCCAGTT